ATCATCAGACACCTTCTGGGCTACTTCTAAAAGTTGAGTGATGTTCATGCCACTAAATCCTTCTAATTTTTGTAATTTCTTCTGGATGTTTGGAGCTGCCTGAGCCACAAAACCCAAAGCGCGGCTATTTTTAGGAACAGCCAAATCAAATGAGGTGTAAATACGATAGGCCTTCTGGAGACGTTCCAAGAACACCCCAGGAGACTCATCAGCTCCCCAGATCACTTCCATGGTTTTGGATAAATTCATGGGTTTCCTTGCAGCTACCTTAATGCCCATGAGTAGACTGCAGTGAAAGTTGTCCAAAGCATGCCTCCACACCGAGGCATTGGGTTCCCAGTTTGGTCTGCTGGTAGGGAAGACTTCCTCCAACCTGTCTCTGGCCTCCTCTCCAGGCTGACCAGTGGAGGACAGGAAATGCTTTCATGCTTCTCTGCAAACATGGTCCCTCTCCTCCGCAGTAAAAAGGGTGAGAAGGATTTGCTGACAGTTGTCCCAGGAAGGACAATGAGTCTGAAGTATGGATTCCACCAGAGAGGTCAGAGCCTGGGTTTTTTCAGAAAACAGTGGGTTCTGAGCTTTCCAATTATACAAGTCAGAGGTGGTAAATGGGACATAAACCAAAAATGGGGTTGATCGCTCACCACCAGCCGGAGGTGGTGCCTCCCTTAGGGGAATGGGGGTAGCTTACTCTCCATGTCATGGCAGGAGTCTGGAATCCACAGGCGATGAAGCAGCAGGGGGAACAGAAGTAATAGTAGGCGACCCTGTCGGGGCCGGCGGGTTGTAAGGTGGGGAAAGGAGAGGAAAAACTTCGTCCTCCTCAGATGGAGACAGAACTGGAGGGGCTGAAGCTGAAGAGGGGGGAGACCACGTGGTGCAGTTAAGGAGTATTTTAGAAGCAGGATCTTGAGCCGCGCAGGATCGGAGCCATGGCGATGGGTTAAGAACCAAGGGTAGCCCCTGATCAATATACAGGAACTGGTCGGGGTGGCCTGGATTTTCTGTAACTACCCTCCAAACAGCCCGATGACGTCAGGGTCCAGTGACCCTGTGTCCGGCCACTCCACATTAAACCTTGGCCATTCCAGTTTACATAGGGTGCGGAGTCTGCCGTTGGAGAGGCGAACTCTATGATCACCCGTGAAATCCAGGGAAAAGTTTTTAAACACACATTGTAAAGGAGTAGGTGGCTGAGGATGGGAACGGGAGGGTGCATTTCCCATCTTGGCTTACAAGAGAAAATTATACCCAACACGGGCAGAAATATTCTCAGCCAGGAGGGGATGGTTGAGAGAACTGACAAGCCAGAAGGATTACAACCAAAAAGAGAAGAAAGAGTCGGGGCTAAGGCTGTTTGCCACGTGGAAGATTCAGATGAAATACCGAACCGGTGCCTGTCTTCTTCTGCGTCTGTAACCCAGGTACCTCTGTTGTCTCCACTCATCGAAAGCGACAAGTTTAAATTTGGCCCTCTCAGTGAGGGGAGAGAGGAGATCCATAAGGGCCAGGTCTCTGTACCTGCCTAGAACAAGGATTGCAGTGGTACGGGCCAGGGGACAGGGTCTGGGGGAGTATTTGGTATTAGATTCCGGGTCCACTGGGAACCAGAGTTTATTGGGAAGGGCGTGGAAGGAGTTTAGAAGAGCGAACGTTCACCTTACGTATGAGTCAGCAGGCCTGAGACGGCTGGGAAAGTGTTTGGGTGGCAGACCAGGTGTGCCAGCAAGTCGGCAGGGTGGCTGTCTTGGATCCACCACCTATTCACAGTGGGGGACAGCCAGACGTTTGGCCAGGGACGGTGACAGTCCACTTGCCGGCAGTCTCTATGGTGCCAGAACTTCCAGTCAATAAGAGGTGAGGTTCACAATCTAATCCATAACAGCACTCAATGGTTTTGAAACAGTACAGACAATTTTTGGGCCATGATCCTAGACACCAGGCTAGAGCTGCCGTCCCAGGGGGCAGGAGGTCTCTACCGATGGTAGAGAAAAAGGATTTCCCCAGCTGCCTGGGCAGTATCGGCGGCCAGACATATGACACCAAGACAGAGGACACACCGAAATGGGGAAAGGGGTGCCCCATGAGGGTCCACTCAGATGCCCTCCTGGCCGCTTTCCTTGTGGGAATTTAGCTGCCTCTTAGCATCGGCAAGTCAGTATAAACACACGACAAAGATCAGGTTTGAGTGGATACCGATGCTGTCTTAAGCCACATGAGATCACCACGGTACAACAGGTTGGGGCCCTCTCAGACTGCGTTGTTGTTCACCACAGAGCCACATATTGGAGATCCAAGGGCAGGCCCTTGGCCGCCTCATTCAGTCTACACGGGTACACATATACTTACTTAGAGGCTAATACAGTTGTTATTAACCAGGCAAATTTAGTGACCTGTGGTCCTGTCCTCCAGCGTCCTGGATTTTGGACAGGATTAACGAAGGGGTGCCCCCATCAGGGCTTGTCCCTTCCAGAAACAAGAAACCAGAGAGAGCAGAGTCAGATCTGACTTACCTTCCCAGGACCTGAGATAATAGACTCAGAGCCAAATTCTGTGGGTGTGGCAGTGGCCAGTCCATTCCTCTCCGGAGACACTGACTTACGGGCCCCTGGAACGTCTTAGGGGACACCTCCCCTATCATTCACCATTCGTCCGGGTAGGTCCGGAGCTAGCCTGGTCTGTGCCCAGTGGTGATATAAATTCTCCCTGGGGCCTCCAAATGTTATACCCGGGAGCGGTAAGCAGATTATTACAGAAGCAGGAGTAGGCTGGGGGGGCTGGATGCCTAACAACAAAATTCTGTTTAAAGTTGTTTTTCACTCAGAATGTGGGGTAGGCAGTTACACAGCTGCAGGTACAGGATGTATGGGCCAGTGGGCCCTATTTCTCAGAAAATTGGTTACAAAGATGCCAGGCGTCTCAGACTACACAGTTCTTAGAACAGAATGCCCTGCATAGCTCAGGGTGGGTAAAATGGAGTTAGCAAGATTGTTTAAAATGTATTCACCACAACCAAGCCAATGCTCAAGTGTTCTTTGAGCATTCCTAAAATGAGAATGGCAAGAGGTATTTGAAAGGCATTTATTTATTTATTTAAATTTAAATTTAATTTAACTGTTTTTTTGATGGAGTCTTACTCTGTTGCCCAGGCTGCAGTGCAGTGGCATGATCTTAGCTCACTGCAACCTCCAGCTCCCAGGTTCAAGCAATTCTCTTGCTTCAGCCTCCTAAATAGCTGAAATTATAGGCACTCACCACCCTGCTAATTTTTTTTTTTTTTTTTTTTTTTTGTATCTTTAGTAGAGACAGAGTTTCACCATGTTGCCCAGGCTGGTCACAAATCCCTGGCCTCAAGTGATCTGCCAGACTCAGCCTCCCAGAGTGCCAGGATTATAGGCATGAACCACCATGCCCAGCTGGCATCCATTTATTGAGAGAGTAAGGTCCTTGCTCTGTCTTAAGAGGGTAGCAAGAGATGAGTAACTACTTCTATGTAGTAGATTGCGTGTGTGTGTGTGTGTGTGTGTGTGTGTGTGTGTGTGTGTGTGTTCAAGCAATTCTTCTGCCTCAGCTTCATGAGCAGGTGGGACTACAGGTGCACACCATCATGCCCAGCTAATTTTTGTATTTTTGGTAGAGACAGGTTTTTGCCATGTTACCCAGGCTCTTCTGGAACTCCTGACCTCAGGTGATCCACCCACCTTGGCCTCTCAAAACGCTGGGATTACAAGCCTGAGCCACCGTGGCCAGCCCTATGTAGTAGATAAACTAGAATTCCATTTAGGGTAGCCTACTTCTTATCCTAGCAAATAACCTAACTTTTATTTTTATTCCACAACATGTTAAAGTCTTCTGTTTTCAGGTGTCAATATATAGATACAAAACCTTTTTGTGTTTGTTTGCTGATATTCGTGGTTAAATTGGCAGAGAGAGGGAATGAACCCTGGGTAGCAGGAGTGTGCTTCCACCTCAATTCTCCTCTGGTATAACAATGTGTGTTCTGGTGCTCATGGAGGGTTGTGTGTGGTGTATACTCAAACACATTCATTTCCGAAGCTGTGAAAAAATGCCCTCAAATGGATAAAAACTTACTTTCTGTATTTTTATAAGACAGAAATGAATGCCAGTATTTAAATTAGATAATTATAAGGACAAATCACTTCTGATGTCAATCAGTTTCATTATTTAAGAATACTATTATCGGCCTGGGCGCGGTGGCTCAAGCCTGTAATCCCAGCACTTTGGGAGGCCGAGGCGGGTGGATCACGAGGTCGAGAGATCGAGACCAACCTGGTCAACATGGTGAAACCCCGTCTCTACTAAAAATACAAAAAATTAGCTGGGCATGGTGGCTCGTGCCTGTAATCCCAGCTACTTAGGAGGCTGAGGCAGGAGAATTGCCTGAACCCAGGAGGCGGAGGTTGCGGTAACCCGAGATCGCGCCATTGCACTCCAGCCTGGGTAACAAGAGCGAAACTCTGTCTCAAAAAAAAAAAAATAATAATACTATTATTAGCCAGGCGTGGTGGTACACACCTGTAATCCCAGCTACTTGGGAGGCAGAGGCAGGAGAATTGCTTGAACCCAGGATGCAGAGGTTGCAGTGAGCTGAGATCATGCCATTGCACTCCAGCCTGGATGACAGAGTAAGACTCTGTCTCGGCGCGGGGTGTGTGGGGAGGTGCGGAGGGAAAAAAAGATCATTTTCACTGTGCTTGTAGATCCAGTATGGTAATATTTTTTCCTCCTAGGTTACGTGTCCTTTTGAATATGACTTTAGCATTCTGTTTTGTTTCACATATTCCCAGATTTCTGTTTCTAATCCCAGTTCAGTGTTGTTTGTCTACTATGTATAGAATGTAAGCGTTGTGACCAAATGTGCATAAAGCGGTTAGTTTCATGTCACTTTCCTTTTCCTTCTAACACTGAGGATAAGGTAAACTTTGGGTGGCATTTCAGGTTTGCCATTTCTTTTTTTTTTTTTCTTTGCTCTCAAACAGAACTGTGACCTGGATCAGCAGAGCATCGTTCACATTGTGCAGAGACCATGGAGAAAAGGTCAAGAAACGAATGCAACTGGAGGTGACAACCCCAGAAACGCGGCAGGAGGCTTTGAGCAGGAGCCCCAGAGCTTGACTCGGGTGGACCTCAGCAGCTCAGTCCTCCCAGGAGACTCTGTGGGGCTGGCTGTCATTCTGCACACTGAGAACAGGAATGACGCACCACCAGCTGGAAGTGCAGGTAACTGGAATGCTCTAAGATTATTAAGCTCTTGGTTTGTTTAGTGTAGTACTCTGTGGAGCATGGCCTCATCAGGTGCATATTTAGTTTATGATACATTTTGGATTGGAGTCTCTAATCACTACAAGGAAATATCACTGTAACTGGAGTACTTTGATATAAACTTTGAGAATGTGTTTATCATAAGTACTATGAAATAGGTTTTCATATTGAGATTAAATATGAGATATATTTCTAATGATGTAGAAAAATTCTAAGAAGTAGAAAGAACTTTAGAGCTAATTTGAGCCATGTGTAGTTTCTAAAGTCACATATTCCAACGGCGATAACATCCTTAGTATGAAAGGACTCCTCCTAAAAAAGAAAAAAGAAAAATAATTAAGAAAAAAAAAAAAAAGAAAGAAAGGATTCCTCCTTCTCTCTGTGCTACCACCCATTTAAAAATGCTTTTCTTTGGCAAAGATGGTTATCATTCAGTTATTTTGAAGCTATTAATATGTTTCCCTTAGTCTTTTATTCTCTAATTTAAGTAGTCAAAGGTGTAATACAATTAATTTTGACTGTGTTTGACAGAAGGCAGAAAATAATCACAATGACTTCACCCAGTAGAAATTGATTTCCTCCCACATACAATAGGTCCTGGCAGTTGTGGGCTTGTGTGGCCTTCACTAGGTCAGAAATTTCTGGGATCTGCAAGATGGAAGCCTAACATAATAAGAAATGTCTCCTACTAGAATTACTAAATAAAATTTAAGGAATTTTTGAAAGTTTAGATGAGCTTACAAAAAAAGAAAAGAAAAGAAAAGAAAATTTCCCGGGACAAATGAAAATGTAGAAACAACATCTTTAAATACAGGAGTAGATAAGCCCAGAAAGTAAGGCATTACCTGATGCTCTGTGATCTTGAGATGGTCGTGGAAGAGAAACAGGCCCTGTTTCACGTGAGCTGGGGTCTGGTAAGAAAATAATACTTATGCCTGGGGTCTGGTAAGAAAAATGGAGCGATAAAAATAAATGTCAGAAATGGGGGAAAATGAGATCAATCTAAACCCCTGCAATATCTGTGTGATTCAGAATGATATATTAATATATCTATCAAACCCACGCTCGTAACAGTTCTGATGTTTCAACCAGAGTATGTATAAGATCATTCTGACATTGACACCTCCAGAGAAAAACAAACCCTGCTAAAGGATACTCATGCTCCAACATCATAAACTAAACTAGGGAAAATTTCACCTTGAGTGTGTCAGAGACCAGAATATGCCACTCCAAAATATAACTGTAGGAGACCAGAATATGCCACCCCAAAATATGCCGCTTTAGCATAAGTATTATTTTGAGCTGAGTATTTTGAGAAACAGTAGACACAGGACAAGCTCTAGAAATAGAGCCGAAGTCACCCTTTTGCAAGGGAAATTTGTATCTACAAAGGAAATCTCCATTTGTAAGCGTGTCTCCCTCTCCTTACTAGGAAGAGTAGGAGAACAGAGTCTCTGGAGACTGATCCTTCAGAAGGCACCAACTTAATAATCTGCCTAACAAACCTTACTCTGTCTTCTCCGCTCCCTTTCTTCCTTTGCCTTTAAAGATGATATTCAAGCCTGAGTTTTAGGCCAGCCTCTTTGAGATTTATGCATTTTTCTGGGTGTTTCACATGTACAGTCATCCCTCCCCATTAATAGGCAATATGTTTCAAATCCCCCAATGCATGCCTGAAACTGAAAAAGGGTACCAAACCCTGTATTTGCTGTGTGTGTTCCTGTACAACTGTATAACACATTGGATTTATTATGTGAGTAGACCTATCTACTTGTTCTTTAATATGATTTTCCAAACTAAAATTTGTACTAAAAATAAGAAAATCACATTCTTTAAAGCAAAGTTAAACTGTTACTTATTATCTCAACATTGAAAGCAGTTTTAGCACAATAATTATATTGTGTGCACATTCACATTTTTTATTGTTCCTAGTGTGTCTGTCTGTGCTATCTTATCAATCATATTTATCTGAAAACTTTAGTCTTCTTATTTTGTTTTATCGTAAAATTCTCCTTGGTCTTCTCCAGAATTTTTTTTTAGGAGAATGAACTTAGAATTACTGACACTTTTAATTGACACAATCTCTAGACCATAATATTTTAGTTAAGAAAATATAGTATTCTCTCTCTGTTTTTTGTTTGGTTTGTTTTTTGTTTTTGCGATTTTTGTTTTTACCTCTTCAGCTATGGTTAGTATATTTGATGTATGGCCCAAGACAATACTTCTTCCCTTGTGGCCCAGGGAAGCCAAAAGATTTGACACGCCTGCTATAATAAATTGTAAAGGTTAAATATAAAAAATGTAAAAATAGACAAATTTTTTAGAAATTTAAAATGAATGACAGCAAACCACCTTGCCATGTGTATACCTATACAACAATCCTGCATGATCTGCACATGTATCCCAGAACCTAAAGTACAATTAGAAAAAAAAGAAAAGAAAAAAAGGAAATTTAAAATAATTGAAATTGCTTTTAAGATGAGCTCTGGTGATATACCATTAATACATTATAATTGTTAGAGAATATGTTTTTATCAACATTTTTTTGACAGTGGTTGAATATAGTACAAAATGAAAATTATTCTGGGATTGCATAGTAACTAACACCTGCCAAACACTAATCAGTCATGGAAGCCTGTTAATGGAATAAAGTGATAAGCTCCAGTCTTAATACTCATTTTATTCAAAACCAAATCTCAAGTACTTGCAAATATGTGTTATACATGCTAACGACTTTAGGCCAGAGGGTGTTTTGCACAGCTTTAAGGAGTGCCTCTTGTGTAAATGTTTCTTGAAAAAAATCCAAAATGTTGGCAGTCATACTAGAGTTGCCAGAAATTTCATCTTTTTTCCAACACATAAATTCTTACTGTAATATCCCTTTCAATAGTAAAGGTGAAAACACAGAAAGTAGTATTGCTCAGTAGTAAGACTTCTGCCAGCCTCACATACTTCAGGTGGGGGAGGGATGGTTGAAGTTGGGGAAAAAATCCCGTAATCTTTTCCAAGAAGTCTGAACGCTAGTATGGCTTTCTATGTACGACTTGCTCCTTCCTCTCTTTTTTGTTTTTTATTTTTTGAGATGGAGTTTTGCTCTTGTTGCCTGGAGTGCAGTGGCTCGATTTCACTCACTGAAACCCCTGACACCTGGGTTCAAGCAATTCTCCTGCCTCAGCCTCACGAGTAGCTGGCATTATAGGTGCATGTCACCATGCCAGGCTAACTTTTGTTTTTGTTTTGTTTTGTTTTTTGCATGGTTAGATTTGCAAATATTTATTGAGCTCTGAAGTAATAACAATGTCTGATACTGGCATCGCATGGAGACTTTTTTTTTTTTTTATTGTACTTTAAGTTCTGGCGTACATGTGCAGATCTTGCAGGATTGTTACATAGGTACACAAATGCCATGGTGCTTTGCTGTCTCCATTCCCCCGTCACCTACGTCAGGCATTTCTCCCAGTGTTATCCCTCCCCAGCCTCCCTGTTCCCTGCTGTCCCACCCCTAGCTCCCCATCCCCCAACATACCCCAGTGTGTGATCCTCCCCTCCCTGTGCCCACCTGTTCTCATTGTTCAACACCCTGCCTATGAGTGAGAACATGTAGTGTTTGGTTTTCTGTTCTTGTGTCAGTTTGCTGAGAATGATGGTTTCCAGATTCATCCATGTCCTTACAAAGGGCACAAACTCATCATTTTTTAAGGCTGCATAGTATTCCATGGTGTATATATGCCACATTTTCCTTGTGCAGTCTATCATTGATGGGCATTTGGGTTGGTTCCAGGTCTTTACTATCGAAAACAGTGCCACAGTCAACATACATGTGCATGTGTCTTTATAATAGAATGCTGGGTCAAATGGTATTTCTATTTATATCCTTGAGGAATTGCCACACTGTCTTCCACAATGGTTGAGCTAATTTACACTCCCACCAACAGTGTAAAAGTGTTCCTATTTCTCTACATCTTCTCCAGCATCTGTCATCTCCAGATTTTTTAATGATCACCATTCTAACTGGTATGAGGTGGTATCTCAATGTGGTTTTGATTTGCATTTCTCCAATGACCAGAGATGGTGAGCCTTTTTTCATATGTTTCTTGGCCTCAAAAACCAACATATATTGAAAAGTGTCTGTTCATATCCTTTGCCCACTTTTGAATGGGTTTGTTTGTTTGTTTTTTTTCTTGTAAATCTGCTGTAGTTCTTTGTATATTCTGGATGTTAACCGTTTGTCAGATGGATAGATTGCAAAAAATTTTTCCCAATTTGTTGGTTGCTGGTTGACTCTAATGATTGTTTCTTTTGCTGTACAGAATCTCTGAAGTTTAATTAGGTCCCATTTCTCTATTTTGGCTTTTGTTGCCATTGTTTTTGGTGTTTTGTTCATGAAGTCCTTGCCTATGCCTATGTCCTGTATGGTTTTGCCTACATTTTCTTCTAGGATTTTTATGGTGTTAGGTCTTATGTTTAAATATTTAATCCATCTGAAGTTAATTATAGTGTAAGGTGTAAGGAAGGGGTCCAGTTTCTGCTTTCTGCACATGGCTAGCCAGTTTTCCCAACACCATTTATTAAACAGGGAATCCTTTCCCCATTGCTTGCTTTTGTCAGGTTTGTCAAAGATCCAGCCGCTCATGGTTTTACAGATACTATTATTATTATTATTATTATTATTATTATTATTGCTATGAAGAAAACAAAATACTGTATTTCATCAATTTTAAAAGGTATTTTTTCACATTTTACCATTTCTGAGATCTGGAAACATCTCACAATCTGATAGCAACTTTTATCTGGATTTAATTGGCAGCATTTTTTTCTTTCTTTGTAATACATAAAACAATTGTTTGTAACTGATGACAAATTCCATTCAATGAAATGTTACAAAATGTGAGAGACACTAACTACTGTAGCTTTCCAGATCCATTTTTACCGTGCTCAGGTGACAAATTAATAAGATG